CTCCCAGCAAGCCAGGCGGCCATCTTACGTATTTCCGAAATGGACGGAAATACAAAATTTTTGGCGCCTGCCGTTTCGATTTTTAAAAACCCTTCTGGGTTTGAAAATATGTTTTGTTATCGTTTCGTATATGCAAAAATTAACGAATGTTTAACGAATTAACGAATTAACGAACGAAACCGCACAGGCCTATTGTATATTTCAATGGCTTCTCTGTGTAGGCTTCTCTAAAATTGCAACAGCACAACAACAGAGAGGAAGCAGGCAGGGACATCTAATTACCTCTCAACAAAGGTACAGTCAGGCCATTGTATGCTAATCAAAGTGGTCAATTGAAACATTCACACCTAGCCCCAGCAGACAAGAGTCCTTTGTCCCACGCTGGTCTTTCCACAGATATATAAACCCATTTTCCTAGTTCCAACAGACCTCGCTACCTCTGGGAATGCTTGCCATAGATGCCTCTAGAACATGGCCATATAGCCCGAAAAAACCTACAACAACCCAGTGATTCCGGCCATGAAAGCCTTTGACAATATTATCAGAAAACACAATATTTTCTGTTGCTCATGGGGGGTCTCTGTGTGGGAAGTTCCTAATTCTTTCATTGGTGGAGTTCAGAATGCCCTTTGATTGTAGATGAACTATAAATCCCAGCAACTACAATTCCCAAATATCAAGGTCTATTTTCTATGTGGGAAGTTCCCAATTCTATCATTGGTGGAGTTCAGAATGCCCTTTGATTGTAGGTGAACTATAAATCCCAGCAACTACAACTACCAAATATCAAGGTCTGTTTTTTCCAAACTCCACCAGTGTTCACATTTGGGCATATTGAATATCCGTGCTAAGTTTGGTACAGATTCATCATTGTTTGAGTCCACAGTGCTCTCTGAATGTAGGTGAACTACAACTCCGAATTCAAAGTCAATGCCGTCCAAACCCTTCCAGTATTTTCTGTTGGTCATGGGAGTTCTGTGTGCCAACTTTGCTTCAATTCCATCGTTGGTGGAGTTCACAATGGTCTTTGATTGTAGGTGAACTATAAATCCCAGCAACTACAACTCCCAGATATCAAGTCTATTTTCCCCAAACTCCGCCAGTGTTCGCATTTGGGCATATGGAGTATTTGTGCCATGATCCATCATTGTTTGAATCCACAGTGCTCTCTGGATGAAGGTGAACCGCAACTCCAAAACTCAAGGTCAATGCAGATCAAACCCTTCCAGTAATTTCTGTTGGTCATGGGAGTTCTGTGTGCCAAATTTGGTTCAATGTCATCATTGGTGGAGTTCAGAATGCTCTTTGATTGTAGGGGAACCATAAATCCCAGCAGCAACAACTCTCACATGACAAAATCAACCCCCCTCAACCCCACCAGGATTCAAATTTGGGCATACAGGTATTTGTGCCAAATTTGGTCCAGTGAATGAAAATACATGCTGCGTATGAGATATTTTTAGATGTAAGACTTGTTGATAGGGTAGGTAAAGGTTTGCCCCTGACATTAAGTCCAGTTGTGTCCGACTCTGGGGGGTGGTGCGCATTTCCATTTCTAAGCTGAAGAGCCAGCGTTGTACATAGACACCTCCAAGGTCATGTGGTCGGCATGACTGCATGGAGCGCTGTTACCTTCCCGCTGGAGCGGTACCTATTGATCTACTCAAATTTGCATGTTTTTTGAACTGTTCGGTTGGCAGAAGCTGCGGCTAATAGCGGGAGCTCTCCCCGCTCCTCACATTCGAACATGCAACCTTTCGATCAACAAATTCAGCAGCTCAGTGGTTTAACCCACCGCGCCACCGAGGGCTCCTAGCGAAGGGGCCTCAGAGAGGAAATAATCCAGTGATAGACAGGTGGGGACCCCTCCCCCCAGCACCACCTGCCGCTCTGGGCCAGAGTGAAGGGGGGGGCAGGGGACAGTTCCACCTTGTCTCCTGTGCTATGCTAATAATATAATATAATGTAATATATATATATATATATATATATATATATATATATACACACACACACACACACATAAAATATTTATAATATTTTAATGAAATGCAATACAATACTACTAATAATATGATATTTGTTATTATTCATTCGTTGAGTTGTTTCCGACTCTTCGTGACCTCATGGACCAGCCCACGCCAGAGCTCCCTGTCGGCCGTCACCACCCCCAGCTCCGTCAAGGTCAATCCAGTCACTTTAAGGATGCCATTATATATTACATTACATTACATTACATTACATTACATTACATTATATTATATTTTTATATTGCATGTAATATTACTAATAATATTACAATATAATAGTATAGTACAATATAGTAATATTTAATACTGATATTGTACTATGCTAATAACATAATCTATACATAATCTTTCTGTGTATATTTCAGATTTCAATATTAATGGCAAAAAAACGAAGTATGATTTTACATAGGATTTGTGTTACATTAGAACAGTAAAGACAAATAGCACTTAAGTAAAATAAACATTAAAGATTAAATAACCAGAAAAATAAAATAAAATATGGTGCTCTGCGTCCCGTTCGGGATGAGAAGGGTGGCATATAAATGTCATAAACTCGCTCCCCAAGGACATCAGGCATGCCTCAACTCTGGCAGTCTTTAAGAGGACCCTAAGCAACATGTCCTTAATCGCACTTTACTAATGATCTAGGATTGTCTGCTCGCTCCATCTCTCTCTAAATACCTATCCTAGTTACATGTCACCTTGTCATGCCCAGCATTTTTTTTAAAAAAATCATTATTACATTTGGCCCTGCCATAGGTTTTTAATGCGTAGTGGTGTTATTGTTACTGTTTATTACTTTGTTTATGAGTTTATTTGTTGTTTGTATTGTTGTTGTTGCTTTTTATTGATGTACTAGCGGTCCCCTGCCACGCGTTGCTGTGGCCCAGTCTGGTGATCTGGAAAATAAAGTAATTAGAAAGTATTGGTTTCTAATATATGTAATTTCTTTCTGCTTGTGGGTAAACAGCATTTCTTGCTGTTTCTTTGTCAGTGTTGATGTGGAGAGTGTCTGGTTTGCCTACTCTGGAACATGCAACATATCATTGCCCTTCTTCAGGGGTCCCTTTCAAATTTATAATACTTTATCTCTGTGTGTGTGAATCATATAGATCTATATCTATGGCTGGATGGCTCTCTGTCAAAGGAAGGCTTTGATTACGTTTTCTTGCCCTGGTGAAGGGAGTTAGATTGGATGGCCTTAAGTGTTTTCTGTTGGTCATGGGGGTTCTGTGGGGGAAGTTTGCCCCAATTCTGTCATTCGTGGGGTTCATTCAGAATGGTCTTTGATTGGAGGTGAACTATAACTACAGCTCCCAAATGCCAAGGTCTATTTTCCCCAAACTCCAAATGTGTTCATTGTTGTTCATTCGTTCAGTCGTCTCCGACTCTTCGTGACCTCATGGACCAGCCTACGCCAGAGCTCCCTGTCGGCCGTTACCACCCCCAGCTCCTCAACGTCAGTCCAGTCACTTCAAGGATGCCATCCATCCATCTTGCCCTTGGTCGGCCCCTCTTCCTTTTTCCTTCCATTTTCCCCAGCATAATTGTCTTCTCCAAGCTTTCCTGTCTTCTCATGATGTGGCCAAAGTAC